TTAAGAGTCAAGATAAGACAGAAACAGAGAAACAGGATATCCTCTGTTAGAAGAGCCGGCCTCCCTTTTGCTGGAACATCTTCCTTCCTAGCACTCCCTTGTCCTCTCCTCTGCTGCCCCTCCCGGCAGAGGTGGGCCTTGGTGGGGGCCCAGAGCTTCTTTTCTCAAGGTCTCCCTGTGAAGTCACATAAAGGGACACAGGACTCAGGAGGTGAAAGCCCCACTTCAGCTCCCAGGGTCATCTGGGAGAAGGCATGGCTTTCCTCTGCTGAAGCCATTTAGGAAGCCCAGGCAGGTACAGGTGTGGCAGAGGAGAGCGGGACCAGCTCTTTGAGACCCCTGTGCTGCGCCTGCCTCTGACCTGCCGATGAGAGAGGGGCCTGGGTTAAGGTCCTAGCCAGGTTCAGCATAACTGCATTTCTTGAGGCACTGCCTGTGGCGTGTATCCCTTCTTCCATGGTACAAAGTGCTGCTTTGCCTTTGTCTCTTCCTAGAGGCATTCTGGGCTAGGTGGACATTTTGTGCTCAATTCCATTTGTTCAGTGCCAGAGATGAGCCCTAGGGATCCCCACCTCCCTCAAGGTCTGTTGCCAGCTTCAGGAGCCTAGCACAGCCCTAGGGGTTCTTAAAGTCTTCCTGGAACTGCAGGATGTGTGTGTGTGTGTGGGGGGGGGGGTGCTGGCAGGGATTTGGGGAGGTTTTCTGCCACCCCTGGGGGAAGAGCATGAGTGCCTTGCAGGTCTGCAGTCAGCCTCACAGTGCTTTGCTCCGATCGATCGGTTCTGCTGTTGTCTACTCACCTCTGGCGAATTCGGGAGCAGGAGCTCTCTGTGCCTCTTCGCCTGCCACCGCCTGCAACAGTCACTGGGGTCAAGTGCCAGGGTGGCTGAGCTGACTTCGTGGCTGTCACAGCTTCCGCCGCCAGGGGGCAGGACCGCTAGGAGGGTGCGGTCCTTCACTCCGCAGGCATGCGCAGAAGCGCGGAGGACTCAGAAGGCCTGCGCAGGAGCGCGGAGGCGGGGGCACCCCTCACGCGACTCGGGGACAAGCGCTTTTCTGTGCCAAGTTGAGCAGAGCTGTGAATGCTGGCTTCAAGGGTGCAGTTGCAGGCTGCAGGAAAACAGTTCAGAGAACAGCACACAGTGACCTGCTGAGAGTCACCGCCTCTGGGTGTGCTTTCTGCAGTCGCCTGTGCTGCTGCAGTGGAGAGTGAGGCCTTCCTGGACCCCCATGATTTTTGGTGCTTTCTACATTGATGATATTCACATTGAAATCTTGATATTTTTATTATTGTATCCCCAAATATTTTGTTGTGATTAAAAAAAAACAAACCAATTAATTGTGCAATTAACTGGCATTAAATATATTCAGGGCTATGCACTCATCACCAATATTTAGTTCTAGAATTTCCTTGCCCCCAATAGAAACCTGCTTGTAATTAGCAGTCAATTTCCATTCACTCATTTTTGCAGTTGCTCACAACTGCTCACCTGTTTTCTGTCCCTAAGCATTTTCCTAGGGTCCGACGCAGTGCCTCAGCCGTTAAATCCTTGCCTTGCACGCACCGGAATCCCATATGGGCTCTGTGCGCTGGTTCGTGTTCCAGCTGCTCCACTTCCTTTCCAGCTGTTCGTGGCTTGGGAAAGCAGTGGAGGATGACTCAAAACCTGGGGACCCTGTATCCACGTGGGAGATCAGAAGAAGCTCCTAGCCCCTGGATGTGGATTGGCTCAGCTCTGGCTGTTACGGCCACTTGGGGAGTGGGCCAGCAGATGGAAGATCTTTCTGTCTTCCTTCTCTCTCTAAATCTGACTTACCAATAAAAAGAAATGAATCTTTAAAAAAAAAAAAAAGCATTTGCCTATCCTAGATATTTCACATACACTGCATCATGTTTTCAGACTTCAGCCTGGTGCGGCACCATTAGCATCCCTTTCCTTTTCATGGCTGAATATACAATGTTTCTTGAGCTGTCAGAGGGTGGACATTTAACTTATCTGCACCTTTTCACTACTGTGACCACAACTGTTATGAACATCCAGATACAAGTGCTGTTCGAAAAATAAATAAAAAGCAAGTACAGTTTGAACATTTACTTCAAATAAAACTGTTATCATTCAAAAGATTTTCTAATTTGCTTCTTTGACCCACTTTTTTAAAAAGATTTATTTATTTTTATTATAAAGTCAGATATACAAAGAGGAGGAGAGATAGAGAGGAAGATCTTCCATCCGATGATTCACTCCCCAGTGAGCACACCGGGCCGTGCTGTGCTGATCTGAAGCCAGGAACTTCCTCCAGGTCTCCCATGTGGGTGCAGGGTCCCAAAGCTTTGGGCCATCCTTGACTGCTTTCCTAGCCTCAAGCAGGGAGCCGAATGGGAAGTGGAGCTGCTGGGATTAGAACTGGCGCCCATATGGGATCCCGACGCATTGAAGGCAAGGATTTTAGGTGCCGGGCCCTCTTTGACCCATTTGTTTAGAAACTTGTTTAATTTCTACCTGTGTCTCTTATTTTCTCTTCTGTAACTGACTTATCACTGCACTGTACTTAGAGACTATAATTTATATCATTTCAATCTTATACATTTACTGAGACTTGTTCTGTGGCATAGCATTTGGTTTGTCCTAGAGAATGCTTCCTGTGTGTTTGCTAAAAAAAAAAAAAAAAAAAGTTCTGTTGTTGGAGTATACTGTGGAAGTCTGTCAGGTGCAGCTGGTTCACAGCTTTGTTCATCTTAAAGAGTTCCTTGTGGATCTTGTCCATTCTCTCCATCAGTCCAATATTTGAGTCTGAATTACTGTTGAATGGCCTATTTCCATTTTCAAGTTTCCGCTTTGAGTATTCTGGGGCCCTGCTAATCAATGCACACGTCATTTTGGTAATAGTTTCATCTTTCTGGGAGGCCCTTATTGTTATAAAATGTCTTTGATGTCTAGTAAAGGTTTCTGTTCTGAAGTCTATTTTGTCTGATATTAGCATAGTGCCCCTAGCTTTTTTCTTTCTATTTGCATATATTCTTTCCATTATTTACTTATTTATTTATTTATTTTTCAGATTATTTGGGGCTAGTGCCATGATTATAGGTTAAGCCTCTGCCTATACTGCCAATATACTATTTGGGTGACAATTCAAGCCCTGGCTGCTCTACTTCTGGTCCATATTGTTGTTAAAGGCCTGGAAAAGCAGCACAACATGGCCCAAAGATGGCACCCCCAGGAGACCCAGAAGAAGCTCCTGACTACACAGGCCCAGCTTCCCAGCCAGCAAATGGAAGATCTCTCCCTTCATCTCTCCTTCTCCCTGTATATCTACCTTTCAAATAAAAATAAGCAAATCTTCTAAGTTTATTTATTTACTTGAAAGTATGACAGACAAACAAGAGATGTTTTCTATCTGTCAGATCTGGGCTGGACTGAAGCCATGAGCTAGGGACCCTACCCAGGTCTCCTCCATGGATGGCAAGGGTTCAAATGCTGCTGCATCTTCTGCTGCCTTTCCACACATGAGCAATATGAAGCACAACTGAGGCACTCTGATACAGGACACCAGAGTCACAAGTATTGGCTTCACCTACTAATCATAGCAGCCCCCATTCCTTTATTTTTAAAAAGATTTATTTTAGTTTAGATGCAAAGAGTAAAAGAATAAGAGGACTTCTATTCACTGGTTTACTCCCTAAACGGGTACAATGGCCGGAGCTAGACCAATCCAAAGCCAGGAGCTTCTTCCAGGTCTCCCACACACACGGGTGCAGGGTCCCAAGGCTTTGGGTTGTCCTCAACTGCTTTCCGAGGCCTCAAGCAGGGAGCTGGATGGGAAGTGGAGCAGCTGGGACACAAATCAGTGCCCATTAGGGATCCCAGCACTACAAGTGGAAGATTAGTAAACACCACCACCTGATTGGTCCCCAATCTTGTGTTCTGCTATTTTTTTTTTCTGTATCTAAAATGTGTTTCCTGTAAACAACATATGTAACTGTCTTCAAACAGCACAGTTTAGTCTGTTTACACTGAATCTAATAACTGATAAGGTAGGATTTATTTCTGCCATTTTGTACTTTTCTATCTAGTGACCTTTGTTCTGCTAACTTCATCACTACATTTTTTAAATTATTAAATTGGTATTTTCTGGAGTGCCATTTTAAAAAAAGATTTATTTATTTTTATTGCAAAGTCAGACATACAAAGAGAAAACAGATACAGAGAGAAAGATCTTCCATCTGCTGATTCACTCCCCAAGTGGCCGAAACGGCCAGAGCTGAGCCGATCCGAAGCTGGGAGCCAGGAGCTTCTTCTGGGTCTCCCAGGCACGTGCAGGGTCCCAAAGCTTTGGGCTCTCCTCCACTGCTTTCCCAGGCCACAGGCAGGGGAGCTGGATGGGAAGTGGAGCAGCTGGCATATGAACCTATACGGGGTCCTGCGTGTGCAAAGCAAGGACTTCAGTCAGCTACCACACCGGGCCCTTTGTGGAGGGTCATTTTAAGTCCCTTGTTTCTTTACATACATTTTACGTTGTTTGCTTATTGGTTACGCAGGTAACTACAACCAGCATTTTAAAATATTCCACTTTGGTTTAATTATTAACATAATTTCCACAGTATACAAATCTTCGCTCCAATATGCCTCCATTCACTTCCTGTGTCTTCATGGTATTATTTATATATTATATGTACACCAACATAATTTTATCAATAATTCAGGTAGTTGTTTTTAAATAATCCTAATAATTAGAATTAAATAAATAAAAGTAGTTACCTCTTAGTGTTGCTGATGGGAGTAGATGAACCCCTACATGCAGACATGCAGAACCCTGAACCAGGATGCACAGGCTTCGGACAGTGTGCAGCATGAGGAAGCGTGTGAAATGATGGACAGAAAGTACACTGCACGGCTTCAACAAGTGACTGCAATTTTGTTTTCCAATTTTATAAAGATAATATGCACTTGAATAGAAACAGAAAACTAGATGGCAGCAGCGAGTAATTAACAGTGAATATCTTCCAAAACAATAAGGAGTGGCCTTTATTTTCATTCTGTACCATTCTCTGCTTTAAAAATGTACACAATGAATATATGTTAAGTTTATAATCCGGAAAGGAAAATCAGTACTGCCTTTACATTGAAAAATTCTGTTACTATCTCTGATACTTCATAAAACATCTTTTGTTGACATTCTACAAATGATACCATCCAATAATGTCCCAAGATTTTCTTCTTGTGAGGTTAGTTTATATATCTGTAAAGATGAAAGTCATATTATGACTTGCTGATATGTTCATACACTATGATTACACAGACATGTTAAGTGCAATTACTTACACTTATTCATTATGTAAATGTTGCAAATTACAAACGTGATTAAAATATCTAAACATGATAGCAACTGATGACTTAAATTTAATACTTCCTTTAAACTGAAATTATGAACATATAAAACTCTGGACATACAAACCAAATCTGCATCAATTTTAAAAACATCCATCTAGACATTAATGTTATTCTGTAGTTATTTATTTTACCTCATTAATGCATTATGCAAGCTTGATACTTACAGCTAACTCTTTAATTTTTTAAAATTGTATTATTTTATTTTAAAAAGTAGATAGGGTTGGGAGTGGAGGGGGTCTGCACAGGAAGTATCTTCTCTCTCCAAATGCCTGTAAGAGCTCAGGCTAGGCCAGGCTGGAGCCAGGAGCCCAGAGTCTCCCACATGGAATGCAGGGATCCGAGCAGCTGAGTTATCAACCTCTGCCTCCCCAGGTGCATCCTAGCAGGAAGCTGAACTTGGAGAGGAGCCGGAAGGAAAACCCAGGACCTCTGATACTGCATTCAGGCATCCCAAGCATGCTTTAACCACTGTGCCAAATATCTACTAAGTTTCTGATTTTATTTTACATAAACCTACATCTTCTAGTAGCATGAACATTTCTTAAAAGTTCCAAGAATACCCCAAATAGGAGCACTGGTGATTAACAAACAGCAATGGAAACATTCCTTATCTGTCACACTCTGTATAATAGAGTTCTACAAACCTTTTTGACTTCTGGAATATTCGTTATTTCAGGAAGATCTTCCAGAGAAATCTGCTGGCCATCTACTTGTGATATTAGGTGTTCTTGATTTATTTGTTTTTCTCCCTCCTCAATGTAAACAATGAGAATTGATGTATCATTTCCTGAGATGCCAAATTTTTTCAAAGCTTCTGAAATCTAGGAAAATCAAATAAAATCCCACCAGATCATGAATCAGTATTTTCTGTATCTGAAACATCTCGATGTCTTCCTCAGTTTACTCCTAACACTGGTTTGCAGGAACCCAGACGCCAACCCAACACGGGGATCCAGAGATGGATGGGACAAGGTCAAAGGAAACAGTAAATGCCACCTTACATTGTTATTTGGGGAAAGGTTGAAGATAACTTCTGTAGATAGCGTCCTTGTCTTCATTTTTCCCAGTTTGTAGAGGTGAACGGCTTTGTTCGCTGCCACAAGTATCTGGAATGGATCGACAATCTACCAGAGAGAACAGGGATTGTCATGCAGGGATTCTGACACTGGCCTCATCCCAGGGTCACACCAGTGCCAGGTTACTTTATTTCATCAGTATTGTGGACTATATTTTCAAAATTACTATATCTGGAAGGTTGGGTAGGGCTTCTCCCTTTATCCCACATTCTCCTGCCCCCGAAACAGAAAGGAGAACCAGAAAATTTGGAAGCAAATATCACACCCACTTTTCCCTAACCCTTGACCCACCCCATTCTAATCAATTATGTTAACATCATCTAAAAAATAAATAAATAAACCATATCATATCAAGAGTCTGGGCAATCATAAAAAAAAGTACAGAACAGCAAACAACAAGTAGTAAGAATGCTTAAAATTACATTTACTGAGAGCTAACATTATCAGAAAGGCACATTCTAAAACTTTTTAGCTGTATCATCTTTAATCCTCAAAACTCCCAAGGAAATTGATACTATTATCGCTTCTTGGCCTTTTGGCTAGGATCAAGTGAAATTGATACTATTCATATGCAGCAGTTGAGGAAACTGAGGTATGTAGTAAGGACATAGTTCTAATTACCACTCTGCTGCCCAGGGAATCTGGCCAAGTTTTATCTGTTAGAGGCAGAAAATATGAGCACTCATTTGATAGGGTTTTTGGAAAGAGTGAGTCAGAATAACCACCGCCCTACGACAACTCCAGAAATGAAGTCAGTGCTAGTCAGGCTGCCTGGGACATATTCAGAGCTGCGTAAGGGGCAGGGCTGGGATACAGTCACAGCCACGTGATCTGAATCACTGTTCTGGGATCCTGCAGGTGTCCTCCTCCTGGGAACCTGAATCTTACAGGTAACAAGCTGGAGCCCTTGGCTCCCGCCCCGGGGTCAGTGAGACCACCTTTCCCATTGCCTAGGGCAGGACCTGGTAAGCATCTGTTTCCATTCATGGTTGACTTCAGGACTGAATTTTAAGCCTGAGTTGGACACTGAAGTTTTAAGTTAACCTGCGCCATCAAGAAAAAGAAAAGCAGCACTGTCTGAAATGCCTAGTCTGGTGCATTCCTTCTCCCGCTCTGCACTTACCACTGCAGGGTTTATCAATGCGCCTTCTATGGAGCCTTCCATGGCTTTGTTCCTCAAGTCTCCAGCATTTTTTACTTCTTTAAATAACAGAAGGGTCACCCTACATTCAGGAAACAGGTCCAGCTGATGTGTTAACTGCATGTCCTAGATAAGCAGGACTCCACTCACAAAACCTAAAAGAGCAACAGATTTCTTTTACTAATGTTGTAATTTACTTCCTAACAACCCAATATCTTTGCCAACAAATAAATAACACAGCATTAATGACAGCATAGGATTATCAGGAAAAAAATCTACTCCCGAGGTATACTGGGAAACCTTCCAAGTTGCTGTCTGCCTAAGCCTGCTGAGCTATTCCTAGTTCCCCTCTCTCCCCTGGAAGGAAGCACCAGCCTCTGCCCAACCAGACGAGGCAGACTGGGGCAAGAGGGAGGGGCAGGAGGACACTTCAGGTACAAATGAAACCTTCCTCTTCCAGCCTTGGTGACTCTTTGGCTCACCACTCTATTTTAGCAAGACCTGGACACAAATGTTAACAAACACACAAATAAATAAATACAAAATCAGAGTATCACACATGACCCAAAAATTTTCACTTGGCAACCAGAGAGAAAGGGCAAAATTATTACAGAATCAATTATACATCGGCACTTCCTTAGATACAGGCATAAAAAGATAGTAACAGGATATAAATGAAGACATCTTATTCACCTTTTTAAAAAATATATTTGTTAAAATGTGTATTTATTTTTATTAGAAAGGCAGATGCACAGAAAGGAGAGACAGACAAAAAGAGCTGTCTGGTGGCTTACACCTCAAGTGCCCACAATAGCCAAAGCTGAGCTAATCCAAAGCCAGGAGCCAAGAGCTTCTTCTGGGTCTCCCCTTTAGTACAGTCCCAAGGCTTTGGGCCATCCTTGACCACTTTCCCAAGTCACAGGCAGAGAAGGATGGGACAGGGGCAGCCAGGACACAAACTGGCACATGCAAGGCAAGTATTCAGCCACTAGGCTATTGCACCAGGCCCTGTTCTGTTTAAGACTTATTTGAAAAGCACAGTTACAGAGAAAGGAATATTTCATGAATTAGTTCACTCTCCAAATGACACCAATGGCCAGGGCTGGATCATGTTGAAGCCAGTAGCCAGGATTTTCTTCTGCATTTCCCATATGGGTGGTGATGCTTACCACGGCTATAGCAAGTGGGTGGACACCACAGTGACCTCAGCCAGAGATCTGGCACGTCCTGAAGGCAGCCAAGGCCACTTACAGGCCAATGGAGGACAAGGCCGACATTCCTTGTCCTATCAGGACCCAAGCAGGGCTGATGCCAGCACCCATGTCAGAGGGGGTATAAAACCTTTGTCTCAGCTACCCGCTTGCGGTCCTCCCGTTCATTCCTTCACCACAGGGGAACGGACTTCTCTTTGCATAATAAAGGCCTGTTTGTACTTGGCTGGTATTTTCTTTCTCAGGTGGTTGGCAAAGCTAACAGATGGCAGGAAACCAAGCACTTGAACCATCACCTGCTGCTTCTCTCCCAGGTCCATAGCAGGGAGCTGGATCAGAAGTGGAACAGACAGGACAAAAACTGGTGCCCATCTGGAATTCCAGTGTTGTGTGCAGTGGCTTAACCCACTACACTGGAGTACTGACCCCAAAAAGACATTTTTGAAAGCATAAAAGAGTTTGACGGATCAGTGTTGTGGCACATTAGGATAGTCTGTCACCTGAGATGCTGACATCCCAGTTGGCTCTGGTTCAAGTACTGGCTGCTCGACCTCTAATATAGCTCCCTCCGAATGAGTTCAGGAAGGCAACAGAAGCAGTCAAGTATTTGGGCTCCTGCCAACCCAGGCGCGACTCAAACGGAGTTTGTGGCTCCTAGCTTCAGCTTGACCCAACATGGGCTGATGCAGCCCCTTGGGGTGTGAGTCAGCAGATGGAAGAGTTCTCTCTGTAAGCATACCTTGCAGATAAATAAATCTTGTTTAAAAAAAAATTGGGGGGCCTGGCACGCTAGCCTAGTGGCTAAAGTCCTGGCCCAGGATCCCATATGGGTTGCAGTTCTAACCCTAGCTCCTGTCCTTCCCATCCAGTTCCCTTCCTAGTGCCTGGGAAAGCAGTCAAGGATGGCCCAAAACCTTGAGACCCTGCACACAGGTGGGAGATCTGGAAAAAGCTAGCTCCTGGCTTTTGATCAGCTCACCTCCAGCTGTTATAGTTACCTGGGGAGTAAACCAGGAAGATCCTTCTCTCTGTGAACCTGCCTTTCCAATAAAAAAAAATTTTTAAAATTTTTGTTTAAAACATTGTTTACCTAGTTGAGAGGGATGCAATCCCATGTAGGTCTCCAATTAGGGTGGGAAGGGTTAAGGTATGGAGGAAGGTGGGCAGGACAAATGTTTGAATTTTTTTTTCTTGTGTCCACAGGCTTGGGGAGAAAGGAAGGTACCTTTCCCTGTTGTCAAACATCAGCACCCAAGGATGGGGGATGGTTGTGTGATGATCCCTTGGAGACTCCAATGTGGGGAGAGTGTTTTGAGATGTCATTGGCTTTGTTGCACCAGGTGGAGAAAATATTTCCTAGGTCTACTGACCAAGCCCATTTCAGTGAGCATCTACAGGTCCAGGAACATGTGGCATCCTGTGCTACTTTCTGTCCTCTAGTGAGGCACTTGACATCCTTCACTGGCCCAGGTATCCTGGCCATCACATTCCCTGTGTGCATCTGCACATGCTGACCACTGCACAGGCATCAGCTACTGAGGAGGACCAGCCCCAACACAGGCACTCCAGATCTCAGACCACATATATTCTCAGCATTGGAATCTAACGCTGAGAATCTAGTTGGACAGTTCAAGAAACTTTGCCTGGGGTGACCTTAGACTTGACTCTTGCAGGGTAAGGTTTGGTCTGTCAGCTGTACCAACTAACACACGCAGTGGTGATGCAGCTGCCTGGTTAGTTCTGCTCCCAGCCCCATCTCTCACAGGAAATGATGTGCGCTGTGGCTGGTGCCAGCCTAACCTGCCACAACCCAGGTCCTCACACACACAAGGAGTGCTGCCAACTAGTAGGGGGCGATCTCCAGTAACCCCCACCATGCCCGTCCCCTGTCCCAGTTTTTGTGTGTATTAGAATGTGCTGCATCCCATCTGGTTCTCATGCCCACCCACGGATGCTATAGCTTACTTATCCCAGTCCAAACTGCCCTGGCTCTTTTTTTTTTTTAAATGGAAACGCAAATTTACCAAGAAAAGGAGAGACAGAGAAGGATTTTCCGAACAGTGATTTAAGCCCCATGTGGCCAAAGCAGCCAAAGCGGAGCTGATCCAAGGCCAGGAGCCAGAAGCTTCTTCCGGGTCTCCTATGTGAGTGCAGGGTCCCAAGCCTTTGGGACATCCTCAACTGCTTTCCCAGGTCACAGGCAGGGAACTGGTTGGGAAGTGGAGCAGCCAGGACACAAACTGGCACCCTGTGGGATCCTGAAGCATGTAAGGATTTTAGCTGTTACGTTACCGTGACAGGTCCCTCAACCCTGTCTCGTATGCTCATCAGTGGGAACAGCAGCCTAGCAGCTTGAGTCAGTATAATGATGCTACGTTTTGGATTTGGTTCGTTTTTCTCCAAAGCACATGTTAAAGGCTTGGACCTCAAAGTCTAATGTTAAAGTGACAAAGACAGAAGCTTTATCCGACTATGGTTTGAGAAGCAGGGTCTTCCATTAGTGATGAGATTAGATGAGGTTGTTTGGTGGAGCACTCAGACTTTGTGTACTCATTTTGCAAACAAAAAGAATATGTAAAATTAGAAAGGAAAAAAATCTTAAGACCAGAAAAATACTTGGAAAACGTTCTTTAAGGCTGGCTGGGTCTCCGAACTCTGAGAGCAGAGAGAAACCACTTAAGGACGCAAACAGAATGTGGCACTATGCTACCAGCACTGGCAAGGGCAGGCCGACCTGTCCTCTCAAATCGCAGGCGTAATTCCTCAGGTTAACACTCTTGTGGCCCTTTCATGCACTCCTCTCCGGAACGCACTGCTGCCGCCTCCCAAAGGCCTCCTGGAATCCACCCCCACTGTCCTGTCCGATCTCGCTGTGCAGAAGGAAGCCCCAAGTCGGAGGGGCCTGGCCGCCCTGCTGCCCTCTCCGGGCAGGGACTGCTCGGCCAGCCTGCACGCCCCCTCCGCAGGGTAGGCACGGCTCGGCCTGCCTGCAAGCCCCCTCCACGGGGCAGGAACTGCTCGGCCCGCCTGCACGCCCCCTCCGCAGGGTAGGCACAGGGTAGGGACTGCTCGGCCCGCCTGCACGCCTTCTCCGCGGGGCAGGGACGGCTCGGCCCGCCTTCACGCCCTCTCCGCGGGGCAGGGACGGCTCGGCCAGCCTGCACGCCCCCTCCGCGGGGCAGGGACGGCTCGGCCCGCCTGCACGCCCTCCCCGGGGTAGGGACGGCTCGGCCCGCCTGCACGCCCTCTACGCTCTAGGTCTCTTCCTTGCCGCCCAGTGACGTGCGTTCGGCGCTGGGTCACAGTCTACCGTGGGAATCACGGCTCCCGGCCCCGCGACACTGAAGGGTCGCCCCGCCTCAGCACCCTTCCCCGCCTCAGCGCCTTCCCCCGCCCCGGCGCCCTGCCCGTTGCCTCGTTCTCCGGCTCCTAGGGTCAACTCACCCGCGCTCGCCCGCCCGGCCCCGAAGACCTCCCCCTGGGAAACAAATGCCGCCACTTCCGGAAATGCCGCCCAATCCCCGGCCTCCTCCAGCCCGCTTCCGGGAAGCCTCCCGGGGCTCGGATCCCGGCCACCATCTCTCATCCTTCCTCTTAAATCCCAGTTCTGGCAGCGGGACGGAAAGAGGACTAAGGGGCCCTACTGGATGTGGGCAAAGGAGTTGGAAAGGACTCAGTGACAGAAGCCGGAAGCCCGGTTCCAGTTTGTAGTCTTGGATCTAATGTGGGTGTTCGTGGTTAGGGTCCTTCCCGAGCGAGGCGAATGCTGTCCAGGTTGAGCTCGGCATACGCATGCTCTCACTGAGGGTTCGAGGTTCTCTTTCGGAGCAGGCGGGCCTGTTTTCAACGGGCTCTCAGCGGTTTTTTCGGGAAGGTTTCCTCCCTCCAGTAATTTAGGCAGAGGGACCCCGATAAAGTCAGCCTTTGCCCTCATCCAGAGTAGTCTCGGATTTTTGCTGTGTGCCCTCCCGCCCCCCCCCCAAGAGTCCCTCCTGGTTGCAGCTGCCTTTCTTGATCCAAGCAGTGCTTCTCTTTGCATAGGGAGCCAGGTAAATAACAAAACATCCGGGTGAGTGTGCTGTTGTGCAGAAAAATAGAAGGGAGCTGGTGTGCCAGGCTGTGGAGATTAGTGTTCTAGAGGGTTAAGATAGGTCATGAAAGCCTATTTCAGTTACTGAGGAAGGTTTGGAAAGAAGCTATCTGTAAACCTGAGAGGACCAGCATTCCAGGGAACAAATTCCAAAACTCAATCCAGAACTTCTACCTTCAGGGTGCACCTTAACGGGTAGCTAAATCCAAGGTGAAGTAGCTGGGACTCCAACCAGACACTGGTACAGGAGGCAGCCACTCTTTCATCTGCCCCCTTCCCCCATCTGGTTTTTATATTCCAGGGGCCCACTTTGATCCAGCTCCCTGCTAATGCGCCTGGGGGAGCCACTGGAGATGGAGCTTCTGCCACCCACAGGGGAATCCTCTTTGATGGAGTTCCATTCTCCTGGCTTCAGCCTGACAGCCCTGGCCTTTGCAGCCATATGGGGAGTGAATCAGTGCATGGAAGATCTCTAACTCTGCCTTTCAAATAAAAATAAATTTAAATTTTAAACGTAAAAATTAAATTACTGAATGACTCCGTTTCTATTAACACTTTAGGAATTCTAGTGAGCAAATCGTTGGTTGCTCAAGATGGGATGTAGGGGGGCCGGCGTGATAGCTTAGTGGTTAAGGTCCTTGCCTTGAATGCACTGGATCTTATATGGGCGCCAGTTCTTTTTTTTTATTATTATTATTTTGTGTTATTGGAAAGGCAGATATACAGAGAGGAGAGACAGAGAGGAAGATCTTCCGTCCAATGATTCACTCCCCAAGTGAGCACAACGGCCAATGCTATGCCGATCCAAAGCCAGGAACCTCCTCTGGGTCTCCCACGCGGGTACAGGGTCCCAAAGGTTTGGGCCGTCCTCTGCTGCTTTCCCGGGCCACAGGCAGGGAGCTGGAAGGGAAGCAGGGCTGCCAGGATAGAACCGGCGCCCATAGGGGATCCCGGGCGTGCAAGGTGAGGACCTTAACCACTTGCGCCACCGCGCCGGGCCCGGCGCCAGTTCTAATCCCAGTGGCTCTGCTTCCCATCCAGCTCCCTGCCTGTGGCCCGGGAAGGCAGTCGAGGATGGCCCAAAGCTTTGGGACCTGGGACCCATGTGGAAGACCCAGAAGAAGATCCTGGCTCCTGACTTCAGATTGGCTCAGCTCCAGCTGTTTCAGTCACTTGGGAAGTGAATCATTGAGCAGAAGATCTTCCTCTGTCTCTCCTCTTTGTATATTATCTGCCTTTCCAATAAAAAATAAAATAAATCTTAAAAAAAAGGGGGGGGGGAGATGTAGGAATCCCCAAAGAACCTTCAGGGTAAAGCCAATATTCTCTAACTTGATGTGGCGTTACTAACAAATTCATCAAATTGCGCATTTGGGAAAAATACATTTTGTAAGTGATGCCTCAAGAAGGCTGACTGAAAAATGAAACAGACATTGGGCAGGCACAGCACAGTTAAGTTGCAGCTGGAGACACCTGCCTGCATATCAGAACCCACCTGTGCTTCCAATCTAGCATCCTCCTAGTGCTTTGGGAGGATGGCCCAGGGAACTGAGTGCCTGCCACCAAGCTGGAGACTTGGTGGGCTCCAGGTTTTGGCCTGGCCTGGCCTACCCCTGCCTGTGCTGACCACTTGGGAGTGAATCACTGGATGGAACATTTCTTTTTTTTTTTTAAAGATTTATTTTTATTATTATTTTTTTATTGGAAAGGCGGATATACAGAGAGGAGAGAGAGAGAGGAAGATCTTCCATCCGATGATTCACTCCCCAAGTGAGCGCAACGGCCCGATACCTATGCCGATCCAAAGCCAGGAGCCTCTTCTGGGTCTCCCACGCAGGTGCAGGTTCCCAAAGCTTTGGGCCGTCCTCGACTGCTTTCCCAGGCCACAGGCAGGGAGCTGGAAGGGAAGCGGGGCTGCCGGGATTAGAACCGGCGCCCACATGGGATCCCGGGCGTGCAAGGAACCACTTGCGCCACCGCGCCGGGCCCAGGATGGAACATTTCTCCCTTCTCACTCTTTGTCACTCTTTAAAATAAACAGATTATAAAACAAAAATAAATATTTAAAAAGTCATTCCTGTTTATAGAGTGGCTTCCTTTTACTCACCAAAGGGTGAAAACAATCCAAAACTCAAGTGAATGGGTAAACGAATAAAGGAGTACAACTCAGTAATTAAAAAGAAAACTCCTACTATAGAAAAACATAAATTTCCATTAAGCAGAATCAAAGCAGATGTAAGAGAGTATATGCCATATATTTTATTTTTTTAAAAAAGCTGATTTAGAGTTTTCTATATTTAAAGACCACTGTCTACTTAGATGGTGGGCCTACAGCAGAAAGCTAATTACGGAGATAAGAGAAATTGAGGTGATAGATATGTTCTGCCTTGATTGTGCTGTTCACATCAGAACAGGTCAAATAATTTTTTATATTCTGCATACTGTTGTGCAGTCTAAACACAATGAAGCAATAAAATCTTTTTATTAGGATAGGTAAAATGAAAACTACAATGTTAGGGATGTAAGCAATTGTTGGAATTCACACATTATTGACAGGCATGCAAAACTGCAGCCATTTTGGAAAAGCTTACCAGGATCTTCTAAAATTAAATATACCCTTGAGGGCTGGTGTGATGGTACAACTGGCTAATCCTCCACCTGCAAATATGAGTACCAATTCATGTCCTGGTTCCTCCACTTTCTCCTTAAGATTTATTTAATTTTTTTTTTAATTGGAAAGGCAGATATACAGAGAGAAGGAGATCAGAAAAGATTTTCCATCCACTAGTTCACTACCCAAGAGGCTGTGCAGCCAGAGCTGAGCTGATCTAGAGCCAGAAGCCAGGAGCCCCCTCCAGGCCTCTCAAGCGGGTGCAGGGTCCCAAGGATTTGGGCCATCCACTGCTGCTTTCCCAGGCCACAAGCAGGGAGCTGGATGGGAAGTCGAACAGCCAGGATATGAACCAGTGTCTGTATGGTATGCTGCCAGATGCAAGGCAAAGATATAGCCACTAGTTATTGTGCTGGGTCTCAAGCTCCCTGCTTATGGCCTGGGAAAAGAGTGCAGCTGGGCACAATCCTTGGGCCCCAAGGGTCCTGCTCAAGTGGCTTTGATAATTCAACTGTTCTGAATTGCTCCCAATTTTGCCATTTCAAGCACAATGAAATCTCTTCAGAATCCACTGGCGGACATAGTCCACTTTAGTGTCCCCACTTGCCCAGATTTTTATTGCCAACACATAACTGGAGTAGTTGATCAATTTGTTCTGTCCTTTGTTGTGATACCAGGTGTCCTCTGCATGCTCCAATATATTATCATATCGTCCATATGCACCTGGACATGCTGTGGACTGCTCTTTCTGAGCCACTGAGGAGGTTGAGCTTTGACACATGCACTCCATGGTCAGACCATGGAAATCAGCAATTCAGTTGGAGGGATCCCAAAAAAAACTTCATCTGAGGTGATCCCAGACCTGATTCTTGTGCGTGCTTGCCAGCACAGGTTCTGGCACAGACCATTGCCCCAGTCAGTCTATGCATATGCTGGTGGTTGCAATTGCTGGGTCAGTTCTATCTCCAGCCCTGCCTGCCACACGAACCAATGGGTGTTGCTGTCCAGCCTGAATCTGCCCACTTCATACTCGACCCTCACGCATACCAGTGGGAGCTGCAGCCTAGTTGGAGTGACCCACCATAACCCAACCAGTTCCATACCCTGCCCTGTTCCCCTGCTTGCCAGTATATACAGTAGACTGGTCCAGTCTGTCCTACATCCCATTCAGCTGTCATACATGCCAACGAGCATCGAAGCCTGGTTCAACCCAACCAGCCCCACTACCAGCCCACACACACGCTGGTGGGTGCTGTCCTGTCTGGCCACCCCTGCCCCTGTCCTGGTTTTCATGCTCTCCAGTGGGAGTGGTAACCCAAGAGGGAGGTGCCCATGATTTCCCTCCTAGGCCACTCCCACTCCTGGATCTTGCACTCTCCAGGTAGTTCTGCAGTTTGACTTGACAGAATTAGCCCACAGTGCCAGCATCTGCCGGCTGATGCTGTAGCAAAACCTAAGCAACCCTCATTCACTCTGATTTATGCTTGCACCAGTAGGAACAATCAGCCCAGCCAGGCTTTTCCCTGACCCAGCTCACATGAGGACAACAGGTATTATAGCCCTGCCTGGTCTGGTCTGCCCCCATTCCAGCTCATGCTCTCCAGTGGGAGTGGTGGTTCATCTGGGCGCGGGTCAGCGGTGCAGCACACCAATCCTCTGTCTGTGGAGCCGGCATCCCAAATGGGCCCTGGTTTGAGTTACGTGCTTTACTTCTAACCACTGCTTTACTTCCAACCACGCTCTCTGCTGACGGCCTGGGAAAGCAGCTTATAATGGCCCAGGTTTTGGGCCACTGCACCCACATGGAAGACCTGGAAGAAACACCTGGCTTTTAGCTTTGGATCAGCTCGGCTCTCAACATTGCTACCATTTGGGGAGTGAACCAGCAAGTGGAAGACCCTTTTCTCTGAGTCTCTCTCTCCATATATAATTTTCTCAAGTACAATTATCAATCTTAAAATATTCCACCTATCCCTCTCCCCACAGAAAAACCCCACAGAATGCAGGTAAATTGTCCAAGTATTTTATCAAATATTTACATAGGTTTATTGTATGCCATGATGACCAAACACTTGTGTCAGGAACCAAAAGTTTGTCCCTTTGTCTGCATGAAAGTTAATAAACAACTTGCTGCATGATCCAACTGTTTTCCAGAGGTATACCAGAAAAGACAACCTACAAAATAAGGCAAACCTACACTTTCTGTGAGAGGCAAATGGACAAAGAACCAGGGAGTTAATTAAACAGCAAGCAGAAACATCAACTGAGTGATCCCAGATCTATAATCCCAGATCTAAGTCTTTTCATATCTTCTTTGCACAAAGCAATCTTTCTAACGCATTAAGTGTTCAAGTTTTCTAGATAGTTCTACCCTGTTGAAGAAAATTATCCTGTCAGGTAAATTATCCTTTACAACTTAATAAACCACCTGCCTCTCTTGCTCCATTGATAATCTCTAAAATTTTATCCATCTGATATGTCTGGCACATACAGCAAACTAAAGTTGGGCCCTACTTCACAATCAACTATCCAAGAAGTAGCTAATCCCCAAAAGGCCTTAATTACAGACAGTGATTAGATTCTAAAAGAAAGTTTCCTCTTGGTAGATTTTAATAGAAAATTTGAAATCAAAAATTCAAGAAAAAAAATGTCTAGGTCAATAGTAGCACATAATAACACTTAAAATTTTCTGTGCATTCCCATACACGCTCACATCATATTTAATCAAAAGAAAATACATACAAAAGTCAGATATAATTTAAAAAAATAATTTGTAAGGGAAGTTATTAGTATTTTATAGTTCCAAAATTTCGTTTTTAGAAAAATTTAAGACTAGAATGACACACTCTTTTCCTGTACTGGTGAAATTATGGCAAATATATCTGCAAAGAGGTAATTATAATTCTTTGAGCTTGAACACATAAGGGAATGATAAAATAGATTTAAAAACCCTTGTTTGAGGTCATTTAATTCAGAGTCCCTTGAACTCACAGCGGTCCAGCTGTGGTCTGCAAGAGGCTTCCCAGCAAGTCTGTCACTCGGCCCATCCCCAGCAGGCCGGGTAGGACACTGTGTGGTTCGGGTCTGAATGCCACCTTCTGCTGTGTGTTTCCCTACCGCCATCTGACTTCACTTTCCAAGTGTATCTCTTCTGGAAATAGTCCTCTTCAGGGGGACCAGGAGGAGGCAGGTGGCTTCTCTGGTAAACCTGACATTGTGAAAATTTCCTTAAACCAAACAAAAAATAACAAAAAGTATTATCAGAATGAGTATTACACATAAATAACTTTGTAAAAATAATACATACAGATACTTGCTTCTACTATTTCCTACCTCTGTAACCTTAGCAGATAAATTATTTAATCTTTCTACTCTTCCCTATTTTACAAGCATAATAGAACACCTTCCCTTCTGACCAGATGTTAGGAAGGTATTTGGACCACATATTAAAATTTGTTAAAAAATATTTATTTTCATCGGAAAGGCAGATTTACAGAAGGAAGGAGAGATCTTCCATCTGCTGGTTTACTGCTCTAATGGCTGCAATGGCCAGAGATGATCACATCCAAAGCCAGAAGCCAGGAGGTTCTTCCAGGTCTTCCAAATGGGTACAGGTTCCCAAGGCTTCGGTCCATCTACCACTGCCCTCCCAGGCCACAAGCAGGGAATTAGAGGGGAACTGGAGCAGCTGAAACATGAACTGGTAGTAGAAGATTAGACAGCTGAACCACTGTGCCAGCTCCCAAATATATTGTTAGACTGTTCTGGCAGACAGAGCTACCTGGGGTCCTTCCACCTTTCTCTATAAACTAAAAGCATACCCATGTTAATCTTTTAAATAACAAATAAATAACCTTTTAAAAAATTGTATAAATTTTGTTTTTGATAATTTTTACATATTTGATTAGGGTGTGAAGGGTCAGGGCTAGAGGAAAGTGGGCAAGACCATTGTTTCCACAATTTTTTTTTTCCTTTTTGTATCTGAAGGGAGGGGAAAGATATTTATTAAAAATAAATTTTCTTTTTTTTTTAAGTTTTTTTGTATTGGCAAGTCAGATATACATAGAGGATCAGAGACCAAGAGGAAGATCTTCCATCTGCTGATTCACTGCACAAGCAGCCACAACGGCTGGAGCTGTACTGATACAAAGTCAGGAGCCAGGAGGCTCTTCTGGGTCTCCCACTTTAGTTGCTAGGGTACTGCACCAGGGCCTAAAAAATAAATCTTTTTAGGGTCCAGCATGATGGCCTAGTAGTTAAGGTCCTCGCTTTGCATGCACTGGGATCCCATATGGGTGCTGGTTCTAATTCTGGCAGCCCCGCTTCCCATCCAGCTCCCTGCCTGTGGCCTGGGAAAGCAGTAGAGGATGGCCCAAAGCTTTGGAGCCCTGCACCCACATGGGCGACTCGGAAGAGGCTCCTGGCTTCAGATTGGCTCAGCTCTAGCTGTTGTGGCCGTTTGGGGAGTGAATCATCGGACAGAAGATCTTCCTCTCTCTCTCTTCTCTCTGTATATCCGCCTTTCCAATAAAAAAAATAATAAAAATAAATCTTTTAAAAAAAAGATACCCATGTGGATAATGAAGCACTAGCACTAGCCCTGGGTGTGTTTCTGCCTACCCTTGGTGTGGGCAGGTACCATCTAATCAGCTGCAAAACACAACCAAAACAACCAAAACAACGAAAATCCTGGCACAGGAAAGGCACATTTACTCTCAAATGGTACCCATCTTCTGCTACTCTGGTTCCCTGCTCTGTGGATTCTGGGAGGTGACCTAGCAGCTCCACAGCAGCCCCAGCCTCACTGCCTCGGGGCTCTCAGGTCAGACAGAAGGGACCAGCTTTCCAGATTCTGAGGTTTCCAGATTTGCACTGGACCACACTAGCAGCACCTTGGTTCTTCTACCTGCAGACGGCCTTTGGTGGCATTTATCAGCCATACTTACCAAATGAATTATTTTTGTGATTTATCTATCCAAATTCTTTGCATATTTATCTACTGGAGATTCTTTATGATTTTTCTTGGTACGCATACAACCTATACCATAATAACGTTGCCTAAGAATGGAAGATCCTTTGTGTAGGCCATATCAAACTCTTGGTTTAAATTACCAAATTAATTGAAAATGTCTAAGTTCCTTTCCCTACACATACCCTACCATGTTCTCAAGTTTCCAAAACACAGCACAGGATGCAACCTCCTGACTTACAGTGACTGGCAAGGAAAGTTTACTTTCTCATCATCATTATGATGCATTTTCACAATTTTATAGTACTGACTTCTTCAGCTGCAGAAGGGAAGGCAGAGATACCTGACTGGATGCTTGAAGTCTGAGGTGTGGTTACGGACGTGTTGAGAATGCGCCATGTCGCCACGTCTCCAATGCTGGTTATGTCGATGACCTTGGTGAACAGCCTTATTAGCGATGTGGGTTGGGTCCATGAGATGTGTTGAACCTTCAAAACCACTTGGTCTGGATACTCTAGAATTTTGACCCCTTAAAGAAAGTATTTACACATAATATCACCAGTTTCCAAACATAGTAGCCAATTCAGTGACTTTCTTTTCATCTAGAGAAATGATAAACCTTTCCTTCCCACATTCCTGTTTGTTTAGGTTCCCCCCAGTAAGTAACAAGCTGTTAAAAGAATGCATACATGCAATTAACATGTAGAAAGAGTTCTCCTTAACCACAAACATCACACAGTCATACAAACAAGCAAAGACTTACTTTCTAATAGGGCCATGCTGCAAATCTTCAATGTAATTCTGCCTTTCTAAACAATGTCCCCGACACCTATTGAACACTGGGGAGTGAATGGACTGTTAAAAATAAATGTATAAAAACCAAATCTTTCTCAGAAAAAGCAAATCAAAGCTGAGATTCATTAACTAATTATTCTGACCACATCTGACTACTTATACATATTTCTTTATAGGCTTTATAAATAATCTTACAGCAGAAAACAATACATTACAAACTTTCTTAATTTGATAAATTCATCTAACATCTCTAGCTTTAATTTATAAAATGGGAAAAATAGCGACAACCCTCATACTTACATTCAATTGCATCATCTGGCCTCATGCCTTGTACATCAATCAAATATCTAACAAAAAACATAGTTTGGGTTACTTATATATACAAAAAAATTAAATTATTTTTTCAAAAAGGTCCAATTTCACCTATAAATGGAGATGCAAAACATCTTAAAAAATACCAGTACACCTAATCCAATAATCGATAGCCATAACTATAAAGACTTAAAAATGATCCAACTCTGGAAAAATCTATTAATATAATTACTTTTATTCAAGTACTTACTTAATAAAATATAAAATGAAACTGGCAAATGTTAAAAGGGTTTGATAAAAGCTAATGGCCATTTTTAAAAATAATTAGTAATTTTTATTGATCAGAAAGGTGAAGTTACAGAGAGAGGGGGAAACTGAGAGAGCTTGATCTGCTATACACTGGTTCACTCCACAAATGGCCGTAACAGCCAGGGCTTGGTCAGGCTGAAGCAGGAGCCCGAACTCCATCTTGGTTTTCCATATGGGTGACAGGGGCCCAAATACATGGGCCATCACCTGCTGCTCTCCCAGGCCACAGGCAGGGGGCTGGATCTGAGGTGCAGCAGCTTGGACTCACACAGAGACATATAGGATGCCAGCACTGCGAGCAGTAACATTTCTGATTTAAATGCTTTGTACAGTAATGCTGTAGATTTCCCTAATATGGTTTTATCAGGAACCAAAAAGAAGACAATTTTGGGAAAATATCAATATTATGTTTTAAAAATATTACATAACCAACCACATGGACCAGAAACTTAAGAATCATGACTGTTGTTAGCCTTCTGTTTCTTGTTCTCCTCTTTAGTATACTACCAGCTCCTGAAAATAACAGTATATAATATCTCTCAAATACATCAGTGTCTTGATCAGAATAACCACCACAGCCTGATAAGTTGCAATTATTCCTGATTCCTAAAAGAGTCTCCAAACTTGTCTACTTGCTTCTACCGTTTTCCCTCTGTGGCATATTTTTCATTCAACAGCAAAATGTTAATTACAAATTTGATTGTGTTCTACACACTTATCCCCAGCACCCCCCCCCCCCAAATTTTTTTTTCTTTTGGTTCCTATGGCTTTCCAGATAAAGAACACGACTGTAGGACACAAGCCCTGCACGATCTATCCATCTCCTATCTATCCTTCCAACTCCACTGTAACCCTGTAGCCACCACATGGCACAATCTCTCCAACACAGAATGTTTTCCTGTTATTCCGTCTTTGCTGTCTAAGGACAGAGTTTTTTCCACAGGGTGGTTGGCCTGGTTACTGGTAGTCATCCCCTCAGATACCTGCTTGGACTGCCCACAGGAACCTCTGACTCCAAATGATGAGGTCAGATCCTGTTCTATCTTCTCATAGCACCATGTCTATTCCCTCAACATTTATCAGTTGCGACTCCATATACATCTGTGAGGTTCCTCTATAGACTGCTAGGACTCATAAAGGATGGGTCAAGTCTCTGCGAGCATTCAACACAGCACCTGTACGTAGAGATGCTAATTCCTGAATGGATAGGTACAGGGCAGCGACATTTAAAGAACATGAACTCTGAAACAGAAATCTCACTTTGAGTGAAGTCACCTCTGGGATAGTGATATATGTATTTAAAGATGTTCCAAAAGGAATGTTTGCTACATCAGTATTTCATAATTTGAAAAATATCTGGATTACATGCCTACAATATGCAAAGGAACAACGCAGCCTTTAAAACAAAAGTCTCAGATTATTTACAGTGATATATTCCCACCATTCTGTATAAGACATTAATATTTGCTAAACTACAATTACTATTAAATTACATATATATGCTTGTATGTGTTATCAAAGTCTGAAAAGATATGTAATAAATTATTAACAGTGATAACCTCTGGTGAGAAACTAGGCTGCTTCTACTAGATTTATTCCTGTACTAACTGCATTTTTGCAACAAGTTTACATTACCCCTGTAAAATGACAAAAACAAACATGCTCTATACTGGGTTGCCAACTCACCTGCAGATGAGGTAGCCAGTCCTGTTTAAGCCGTGAGTACAGTGGACACCGATAAGCTTGTCTACAAAATCAAAAATACAGAGATAAGTGATGCAAGCAGACACTAAAAACAAGTTACACTGCTTCCTAAAGAGTGATATTTAAAGTTATTGTAACAGTAAAATTTCCTTGAAAATGGACAAGAATTTGATTTTGTAAGATGCCAAAATTAATATCTGAGAAAATCATTTATGAGAAAGTCAAGGGCACGATAAGATACCATCTGTAACGGCAGCATCAGAGCACCAGCATCAGCTCAAGTCCTGGCTGCTCCACTGCCGTCCGAGCTCTTGGCATCTGGGAAAGCAGTGGAAGACGATCCAAGCATCCAAGCATCTGAGCCCCTGCCACTGACGTGGGAGATCAGCATGGAGTTCTAGAATCCTGGCTTCAGCCTGGCCCAGCAATGACTTTTGCACCGTTTGGGTGATTGATTGCTCTCTCGTTTCTGTTTTTCATGTAAGTAAATTTAAAAAACAAAAACAAACAAACAAAAAAATAAAAGCTGAAATTCATTGTCTTTGGAATTTTTACATATCCTCAGTTAGACTGAATGAGGTAAATCTATTTTTTTTTCCTTATTATTTGTTGTTTTTGAATGAGGTAAATTTAAAAAGGTCTGGTCAGATACTAAGAGCTATAAAATTACATTGAGATAAACTACCTGCCTTAATATAGAATGCCCACCAGTAACTGATTTAATTGTAGCAGAAGGAAATAAAAACAGCAGGCTCTGGGAAGAACAAATTTTATTTTGAATAAAATAAATGGAATGCTTTCACTTTTCATGCTCCAAGGAGGGAGAGATCGGTTGTATAGTTCTCTCAGGTTCCCAACAGGCTTCCATTTGGTCCCACCAAACAAGCCACTCAAGGAACAGCACCATTTACATTTTAAAATGGAAAGGCATAATCCTAAGCCACTGGCAGGCAAAGATCATGAAGAGTGAAACCAGGTCCAATTTTTTTTTCCCAATTAAGCAACGGTATTTCTCAGTCTATCATTAAAAAAAAAAAAAAAGAGGATCCAGCACAGTGGCCTGGCAGCTAAAGTCCTCACCTTGAACAAACCAGGATCCCACATGGGTGCCGGTTCTAATCCCGGCAGCTCCACTTCCCATCCAGCTTTCTGCTGGTAGTTTGGGAAAGCAGTCGAGGGCGGCCCAAAGCCTTGGGACCCTGTACCCTGTGGGAGACCTGGAAAGAAGTTCCTGGCTCCTGGCTTTGGATTGGCTCAGCTCCAGCCATTGTGGACACTTGGGGGTGAATCATTGGACAGAAGATCTTCCTCTCTGTCTCTCCTCCTCTGTATATTCGCCTTTCCGATAAAAATAAATAAATCTTAAAAAATAAATAAATAAAAGGACATGCGTGCTTACCTTCCTTGGTGACTGTGTTTCTAAAGGATAGAGACTGTCATTCACCTGTGTATCCTCCTTGTCTTATCAGTAAACCTAAGAGTTCCTAGTGTTCACTAAATCTATTTTTATTCTGAGTTTCAATCAGACCCAGGGAGGGGACAGTGTGGTGCCCTGCTCTGTATCAGGTAGCTTGGCACCTTTGGGAAGCGCTTATGACAGATGAAGCTGAAACGGATCCTAGACAAGGCCCCGAGACAGCTGAAGGAGGGAATGCTGCAAGACATAGACGCATCAGTGTGATTCAGGAGGAAAAAAGCCACAGAAGTCACCTGGCTGGCTGTCTTTGCTCAGTGCCACATGCAAGAGTCTAACATTCAGAACCGTGTTCCTATGCAATCAGGGGGAGCTGCCCAGGAAATCAGATGAAACACTGAAAAAGGCAGGAGAGCGTGCCAGCAGGGAACAGCCTGGGAGATATTTCCTCACATCTGAGGAGGCAGTATTTATTTCTGTGATTATAGCTTATGACACTGAGATGCCATGGCTGTCACAGGAAAAGCTGAGGCTCTCAAGTTTTAAAGGTGAAAAGCAGCGAAGACCTGGGAGCAGGACTTTAGGGGATTAAGAATGAGTATCATCTTACATGATCAGGGTATAGTTTGAAATATGCCTTTAGCCCCTCTGTCTCTCACTTCCTATCCCCTACCTTCCCTCCTCCTACTCCAGAGTTCTAGAGTTCTGTTAGATTTCCTTAGTAAAATATAAACTCAAGGTTAGAAAGAAGGCAAATGAAAGCCTTGCCTTAGGGTTTATCAGTCAGCAGCTTTAGCAGAAGGCAACAGCTTTTTCAGACTTAAAATACAAAAAAAATACCATGTCATATTTTATGGGTATATACCAGGAAAAAGCGACCAGATCCTTAAAATGCAAAAACTTTAAGAAATAGATATTTTCAACAGAGTAAGGCAGGTCATAAAGCAGGAACAAGAAAAAAAAGACTATGAGTTCTTTCTGAAGAAGACCAAGAGATGGGGGTGCCCTTCCTCACCTGCACTCTAGGATGGGAAGCCAGCAGGGCCTCCTTCAGAAAAGAGGGCCAAGACGCACTTCTCACTCCGAGGCATCTGCCTTTCTCTAACACTTTGTCTTTTGTTTCTTTCATGTAGCTCTAAAACCCTGAGATTTTTCTCTTCTTTAACTATTCTCTCAACTCTTTATAAGCATGAAAAATACTTCTATTAAACATTTCCAATTTAAAAAGAAAAGATTTTAAAGATTTATTTGTTTTTAACTGGAAAGTTAGATTTATAGAGAAAACAGGAGGCAGAAAGAAAACTCTTCCATCTGCTGGTTCACTCCCTAAGTGAGAGCAACAGTCAGAGCTATGCCGATCCGAAGCCAGGAGCCAGGAGCTTCTTTTGGGTCTCCCACATGGGTGCAGGGTCCCAAGGCTTAGTCTGTCCTCTACCACTATCCCAGACCACAAGCAGGGAGCTGGAAGAGAAGGGGAGCAGCCAGAATACAAGCTGGCGCCCAAGTGGGATCCCGGTGGATACAAGGCAAGGATCTAGCTACTAGGCTATCGAGCCAGACCCTATTTTTTTTTTTTAAAGATGCCCGTGAGGCCAGAGTAAATTATTTCCCACTGAAATTACTTTCCAAAGTAACATTTTTTTTTTTTGTGACCAAACTGAAAAACATTTTATCCTATTGGGACAATCTGACCCTTTCACTTTCAGAAATATTTATTCATTTGTTTATCTGAAAGGCACAGAAAAAGAGAGACAAAGAGAGAGATCTCCCATTTGTTGATTTATTCCCCAAATGGCTCCCCATAACCAGGTATGGACCAGGCTAAAGCCAGGATCAGAACTCCATCCAGATCTCCCATGTGGATGTACTGGGCCTAGGTCCTTGGGCCATCCTCCACTGCCTTCCCAGCTGCACTAGCAGGGAGCTGATCAGAAGCAGAGCAGCCAGGACTCAAACTGGCACTGCGCTTTGAGATGTCAGCCTTCTAAGAGGCTCCACCTGCTAAGCCACAATGACAGCACCCTAACATTGCCACCTTAACATTATCGACTCTAACAGGACAAATGTCAGGGCTATTAGTAATATCTAAAATCTCTAACCCCATTCAAAATGGATAACAAAGTCCACATAAGAAAAAAGAGGAAAACTCACCATTGTCTTTATTTTCTTTCACAAATCCATTAACAGCACGTTTGAATTTAACAACAGTTTTATCATCAGGCACCTGATGCCCAACTGTAGAAATTTTTAAGTAAGAAATAGTTTCTGGCAAGTCCTATAAAGTAAAACCATTTAAAAATGTACATTATTTAATTTGCGGGGGAAAAATTAAAGCTTAAGGAAATCAGAAAAAAAAACTTAAAAGATTATGCAACTTAAAACTATAAAACAGCTCTAAGACCTTAAATTCCCAGTGCCAGTGCCTTCATAAAGCAGCTGTGACTGAAGCTCAACGGAAGAGAATCAGGAGGATTTGCATATGAATTGTGAAGCAAAAAAAACTTCAGTTACTGTTAAGGACTGGTATTCCTGGGACGGAAGGAAACAGTTAAAGACAAAGTATTGTGGCACAGTTGGTTAATCTCCACCCAGAATGCCAGCACCCAAAACTGAAATGCTGGTTCAAGTCAAGTCACAGTTGTTCAACTCCCTGCTAATGTACCTGGCAAAGCAGTAGAAGATGGCCCAATATGTGGGCTCCTACCACCAACAGGGGAGACTCAAACTGGCTCAAAGCCGATTTGGCCTGGCCCAGACCTGATTGTTGTTGCCACTGGGAAGTAAATCAGCAGATAGGCGATTATCTCCCTGCTATTCCACCTTTTAAATAAAAAATAAATACATCTTTAAAAATAGGGCTGCCAGGCTGGGTGCAATAGCCTAGTGGCTAAATCTTGGCCTTGCATGTACCAGGATCCCATATGGTTGGCAGTTCGTGTTCCAGCCGCTCCACTTCACATCCAGCTTCCTGCTTGTGGCTTGGGGAAGCAGTTAAGGATGACCCAAGGCCTTGGGACCCTGCACCTCTATGGTAGACCTGGAGGAGGCTCCTGGCTCTAGGCTTTGGATGGGTTCAGCTCCAGCTACTGTGACCACTTGGGGAGTGAATGGGTATGGAAGAGTGTCTCCTTCTCTCTGTATATCTGTTTCCAACAAAAATAAATAAATCTTTGAAAAAAAATGGGGCTGGCATTATGGTGTAGTGCGTAATGCTGCCACCTGTGATGCTAGCATTCTATATGGGTGTTGGTTTGTATCCCAGCTGAACTCCCAATTTAGTTCCCTGCTTGGCCTGGGAAAGAAGAAAAATTTGCCAGTTGTTGGGTTCTGCGACACACGGGGGAAGACTGGGCTGAAACTCCTGAACTTGGCCTGGCCCAGCCTTGGCTGTTGTGGCCATCCGGGGGTAAAACAGCAGATGGAAGAGCTGTTGCTTTCTCTTTCTATTTCTCCCTCTATCTCTGTAATTGCTTCTCAAATAAATAAAATAAATCTTCCAAAAAAGGGAAAAGATAACAGACAAAAGAGAAAAATGGGCAGTTAAGTGAAAATACGGTAGTTCTAAACTTAAATAGTAGGTATCAATAAGAATTCATGATGTATATTAAAGAATATTTCCTAGCTGTGTTCAAAAAAAGCTAAAAATGACATCAGCCTAGTAGAGACAAGCCCCTCTAGCACTCCGATGGTCCCCTGAAAACAATCAGAGCTTCTTGTAAAACTCACTGACTTCACATTGGAAGCCTGGAACATTTTTGCTTGTTCTTAATACAAATAGCAAGAACAGTGATCAAAGATGGGAATAGGCATTTGCCTAGTGGTTAAAACAATAGTTAGTACGCTTAAGTCCCAAATCAGGAATACCTGGGTTCAATTCCCAGCTCCAGCTTTCAGCTTCCAGCTAATGCAGACCTTGGGACACAGTGGTGATGGCTCAAATAATTGGGTCTTTGTCACTCATGTGACTCACCTGGCTTCTGCCCAGATTGGTCCCAGTCACTGAGGGCAGTGAACCAGCTGGGAGAACTATCCGATAAATCAATAAATCAATAATTTTAAGGGTGATTTATGATTATGACTAGTAAGGTTGTACCAAAAGGATTCAAGAGGAGCAGGTGTTGTGCTGCTTGGAACACCTGCATCCCTCAGGAGGGCCTGGAATTGAGGTCCATCTAGCTCTCAATGTGCACCTTGGAAGTACAGATGGTGCTCCAAGTGCTTAAGTCTCTGCTACCATGTGAGAGATCTGGATTGGGTTCCAGGCTTCATCTTGACTCAGCCATTGCAGGCACTGGAGGAGTGAACAAAAAGATGCATCTATCTGCTTTTCAAATAAATTCGCAAAACATATTTTAAATCCGTAAAAATGTAATAGATATTTCATTCTGCACCCCCTTCAGACTTTATTTAGCTCACTTCATTTTTCAAAAAATAGAACAAAGAAGCTCATGATTTCTATGTTTTAAAGATTTATTTATTTTTATTTCTTAGGTAAATTTACAGACGGAAAAGAAGAGAGAGATCTTCCATTTGCTGGTTCATTTCTAAATGGCTGCGATGGCTGGAGCTGGGCCAATCTGAAGCCAGGAGCCTGGAGCTTCCTCTGGGTCTCTCACATGGGTGCAGGAACTCAAAGACTTGGGCCAGTTTTGGTGGCTGCTTTTCCAGACACATTAGTAGGGAATTGGACTGGAAGTGAAGCAGCTGGAACTCGAACTAATGCCCATACCAGATGCTAACGCCACAAGCAGAAGTTTAACATACTCTACCAGGGTGCTGGCCTCACGATTTCTTAAACACACACGCAACCTTTTGCCAAATATTGTAGTTAAAACTCACATCTCACTCCGAAAGGATGAAGTAAACATTTAGTTCCTAGGCTAACAAACTGGTTAGGATGCTCAAGTCCTGAACAGAGTATCCTGGTCCAATTCCAGGACCCCGCTCCTGACTCCAATTCCCTGCTAACACAAACCTTAGGAGGCAGCAGTGATGGCTCAAGTGATTGGGTTCCTGCCACCCATGTGTGAGATCCGAATTGAGGTCCGACCTCCAGGGTTCAACCTATCCATGACAGACATTTGGGGAGTGAACCAGTGAATAGGAGCTCCTTCTGTCTCTATGCATATCCAAAAACACAAAATAAGAGCCATATAAAGGAACATTTCTTCTCCTTGTAAAATCATTACCCACAAAAGGAAATCTGAGGAATTACTGAAGCACCAATAAGTATGTTAGCATTAAGATGTAGAAAGTTCTTTTCAGTTAAAGGTTCTATATACCTCTGGCTTATAATAGCGCTGAGTATATGTTAAATCAATAATCAGCCCAAGCTCTTCATTTTGTTCACGGATCTTGTCAAGAAGATCCAAAGGGGAAAAGTATTCTTCTGGAGCAAGCTTCTTTTCAAAACTCTGTCAGAGAGAATAAGGAGAGAGTAAATGTGTGCTTCAAGTGTGTTGGTATAGCATGCATGCATTCAAGCTTTGGGATGCCAATACACAATGAAGTTTCAACTTAAGTTTCAACTTTTCTGGAATGCAGAATCTACACACATTGCGATCCTTTCCTCCAGAATAACCAGAAGGAAAAAGAAAAAAAGAAAAAAGCTCACTGCTACATAGATTTTTCCCATGCTTATATGCATCATGTTGACCTCCCGGTCAGATCACAAACTTCCAGAAAGCAAACCACACTGATTCAACACCATCTCTCCCTCCTTAAGTGGTAGGTCCACTATATTTATAGCTTATAAATTCTTCCTATCCATCTATACACATAAAGATGGACTCCATTTCTAACTATTATTTTATGGCTTATTTCTGGACTTTGTTCAATTGACAGATATGGCTGTTTAAGTGTCAGCAACACAGTTTAAAAGACGTCAGATACTTGAGTAGTTTTGAGTTCAAGGCACAACTGTGCTGAAAGGACAGAGTTTCCACGCTGGCTTCTTCCCTACCATAAGCATTTCATACCTGTGTGGCTCACTTGTTACAGTCACTGAACAGACACTGACACACTATAATCAACCAAACCCACAATTCACATACATATGGTACACTCCTTTTGTTGCACATTCTATGGGTTTTAACTAATAGATATTTATATAGAATAGCTTCACTGCCCTGAAAATCCTTTATTCTAACTACACACTTTTAATATGGCTTAGCATCCGGTAAGGTTAGATTGTCCTCCCTCCCATGGTCTCCATTTTCAGCTGGAAATTCATGCTGCTTCTTCTTTTTTTTTTTTTTTTAAGATTTCTTTCTTTTTACTAGAAAGGCAGATTTATAGACAGAAGAACCCATAGAAAAAGATCTTCCATCCGCTGATTCACTCCCCAAGTGACTGCAACAACCGGTGCTGAGTTGATCTGAAGCCAGGAACCAAGAGCTGCTTCTGGGTCTACCACATTGGTGCAGAGTCCCAAGAGAAGGGAAGCAGAGCAGCCAAGACACAAACCAGCACCAATATGAAATCCTGGAGGATTCAAGGCGAGGACTTTAGCCACAAAGCCACTGTGCCAGGCCCCATGTTTATGTATCTTCTATGAGCTTTAAAGATTGCCTAACTTGGGCCTGGAGTGAAGCTTAATGGCTAAATCCTCATCTTGCCCATGCTGGGATCCCATATAGGTGTCAGTTTGTGTCCCAGTTGCTCCTTCCAGCTCTCTGCTTTGGCCTGCAAAAGCAGCATACAATGGCCCAAAGCCTTGGGACCCTGCACCCATGTGGGAGATGAGAAAGCTCCTAGCTTTTGGTTTCAGATCAGCTCAGCTCCAGCAACTATGGCCATTTGGGAAGTGAACCAATGAATGGAAGATCTTTCTGTCTCTCTTCATCTCTGTAAATCTGATTTCTTATTAAAAAGAAATAAAACTTTGAAAAAATAGCTTAATTCGAAAATTTCTATGAAATGTTATATTTATACCAAGCAAGTTCTGACAAATTTCTGACACTGAGTCATCCACATAATATTGTAAAAGTTTTGAAGAATTTAATTTATTAATTACAACCAGACAAATTCTCCAGTTCCTTGGAATTATTTGTCTCATCTATTTGATCAATAACTTGCTGTAGGAAGCTAACTGAAACCATAAACCTTTTAAGGAAGCTTTCTTTGACTTAACTCTGCCTCGAGTCATTTCTCTTTGAATTCCTCGGTACTTTCTGCCACCGCATGTACTTATCCTACTCATATTCTGGGGTGCTTGAGTAACTGCATGTAGTTTGTTTTTTCTTCCATGAGTGACTTTCTTAAAATACAGAGAAAATCAATGTGACATTTCACTACCTTAAACAACAGTTCATCTCCCTAAATGCATGGCATGGACAGGAACTAAACTGGTTAATCCACCTTGCTGGTATTTGAAACAATCCCAACACTGAATTAAGATCTTAAAACGCAGGGGAGAAGGCATCTTTAAAGATGGTATCATATGGAAAAGACCTCTGGCTGGGGGAGGAAAGGAAACTGCAGAGTTCCTGGCTTATCCTCTCCTACCAATGCCCTTTCAGACAGGGGCTGAGCAGGGACCCTCTGATTGCTCAGTGAATCCATTTTCAGAGACCAGGGGATGAGGCTTGAGGAGTAGGAAAGAATAGTCAAACAGCAGCACTTACCTTTTGCAAAGGAACTTTGAAGGCTATGAAACGAGTCCCAGGCATCCGCTGTCCAACTGGGAGATACTCATTCCATCTACAACAACATTTTTGTTAGCTAAATGCATACCATTTAGCCTTGCTTCCTTGTAGACAGAGTTCCTTGAATTTGAGAATCACACCACATAAGGCATGTGCCCTCTGTTCTCCACTTTGTATTTTCTAACTTTACTTCTTCAACCCCAGTTAGTAAAAATCTATACTTGCCTTCCTCCTATCTTCCCACCATGAACACATATATAAGGCAACGCCAGAGTGGAAAGATCACCATAGGAGCCAGTACTGTGTCTGCCATAGCCATAGTTCGCAACGCTGGCATCCCATTCGAAAGTGTCAGTTTGAGCCAGGGGCTACTCCATTTCCAACTCAATTTCCTGTTAATGTACTTGAGAAGGCAGTGGAAGATGGCCCAAGTGCTTCAGTCCCTATCACCCATGTGGGAGACCTGGATGGAGATCTAGCTCCTGGATTCAGCCTACTGCATTTGATGAATAAACCACCCCATCACTGTAATCGGTAAGTGAACCAGTGGATGGAAGATCAATCTCTGTCACACTATCCTTCAAATGAACAAATATCTAAAAAGAAAAAAAAAAAAAAACACAAAAAAAATAAGGTGAACTAAAACCAAACATAGTCAGGACTTGTGCATCCCTGACAAAACCAAGACCAGGGACAACACTGAGCTGCCGGTTAATGAATATATATTGACAGGAATAGTTTAAATTCAATTCTTAAAAAATAAAATAATTAATTAATTAATTAAATTCTTGAACTTCACAGGGTTAAGTTTTTCCTACAACTGATGCCATCAAGTAGAGCAGTAGGGAATCTCAGCTCATATTTTAGGAGGAAGTCTGATAGAAAAGGGGCTACGAATTGCACCTAACAATGCCAGGAGTCACAGTGAAATGTTAACACAGAGCTGACTTGTGTGGGAAGAGTTAGAATTAGCCAGGGTTAGTTCAGTTTCTCTGAGGCACGTCAAGCAAGGACAAGAGTGGCAAGGGATTGGGACTAGAGAAGCACAGAGGACCAAAGACCATGCAGATTTGTGTATTACAGGCCATGGGTAGCAATTTGTCTTTAGTCTTAAAGCAATGTTTTTGAGTAATACTCCACTTCTAAGTTTGAAAGAGTGTGAGGATGGGTTGACAGGAAAGACAAACGGACACCAGTTAGGACCCACAAACAACAGGGCAAAGACCCAATGATCATGCTGTTAGAAGGAAGTGGGCAGACTCCAAAAGTATTCCGAAAACAAAATGAAGATGACTTCGCTAGCCACGACCTGAAGAGGTGGAAGTTGGACGTGTCAGGAGGGCTGACACGTCCCCCGCACAACGAGCAAGATCTCAACCCGAGCCATTTGAACGTTCAGAGGCAGCTCTCTCAAGCAAGAACTTCAGAAAGCAACAGCACGCCCTCCGTGACTCCCGGAAACAAGACCGTTGTCACGGCGCAGCAGGGGTGCGGGGTTCCTGCCAGGCAAACCTCGGCGCCAGCTAACATGAAGGAGAAATCACAGGACACCTCACCTTCAAGCTCGGGGAGATGGCAGGCGTGCGGGAGGGTCACTGCTCCCAAGCAAGGACGGAGGCACCAAGCACAAGACAAGGGCCAGAAGCTAGGAGCTGGGCTACACATACCTTTCCGGAATGCTGTTTTTACCCTTCTTCTTGCCTGAGGAACGTCCGGAAGGGTTCTGTCCCAGGTCCCGACAACCGCGGGCATGACGTCCCTGGCTCATGTGGGCCTCGAGATGCCGCCCACCCCACATCAAGCGAACTAGGGCCGCCAGAGCCGTGCCCTCGCTGCCAAAAACAAGAGCCTCACTTGCAGGAAGCCACGCAGCGTCCCGGCGCCACGCGCTGCGCCTGCGCCACCGCCCGTCGTGATGACGTCACCGCGACGGCGGGCCTGGGGGTGGCCTTGTAAACAGGACAGGTGTGGCTGCCGCGCCCACCGCCTTCGGCAGCTGACGAGCAGTGAGTTGGAGCTTGCACTCTTGGAACTTCAAATAGTGACTGACTCACTGCCTCCGGTTCCTCGAGTGTTCTTTCAGATAGTCCCAACATCTTTTTAAAAAATTATTATTTCCATTTTTGATTATTTTTACATAGTTGATTAGAGTGCAATAGGTCAAGGGCTAGAGAAAGGTGGATGAGACTGCCATTTCCACATTCTGTTTTTATCCACTCCTCTACCTGGGGGAAGGAGGGAGACAAGGAGAGAAGCCACACCCAGCCTCCTAAATGCTTCTGTGCCCTGAGAGGGAGGACAGCTAGCCCCCAGACACTGCCCGAGTTCCTGATGTGGGACATGCTCTGAAGGCCCTGTTCATGAGGTTTTGATAGTTCCACAGTTCTGAATTGCTGCCAGTCGCGACACTCCAAGCACGATGAAATCTCTCCAGAATTCATTGATTGACATAGTTCACATTAGACTTTCCATTTGCCCAGTTCTTAACTGCCAACTCTTGACTGGGGTAGTTGATAAATTTGTTCGGTCCTCTGTCCTCTTTTATGGTATCAGATGTCCTTTGCAGACTCCAATGTACTGCCATATCCTCCATGTGCCACCTGGATATGCTGTCCACTGCTCCGTCTGAGCCTCTGAGGAGGCCCAGCTCTGATACATACACTCCACAGTCAGACCATGGAACCTGCAATTCTCTCCATGGTTGGGGTTCTGAGTGCAGCAATTCAGTTGGGGGGAACCCCCAAGGAAACTTTATCTGAGGTGATCCCAGACCTGATTCTTGTGTGTGCTTGCCAATACGGGGTCTGGCACAGTCCATCGCCACTATCAGCCTATCTGTGCACTTGCTGGTGGTTATAATTGCTGGGTTAGTTTTGTCTCCAGGCCTGTCTTCTTTACAAATCAATGGGTGTTGCTGTCCATCCTGATCCTGCCCAGCACACTTGGCCCTCAAGCAAACCAGTGGCAGTTGCAGCCCAGTTGGAGCGACCCAGAAGTCCTGCTCCCCAGCCATCTCCATGCTTGTGGCCTGAGAAAGCAGTTGAGGACAGCCCAAAGTCTTGGGACCCTGTATCCATGTGGGAGACCTGGAAGAAGTTCTGGGCTCCTGGCTTAGAATTGGCGCAATTCTGGCCGTTTTGGCCACTTGGGGAGTGAATCATTGGACAGAAGATCTTCCTCTGTTTCTCTTCCTCTCCGTATATATGACTTTCCAGTAAAAAATAAATCTTTTTTTTTTTTAAAGAAATGCTAAAAACTTATTATTTCTTTGTAAGGCAGTGTTACACAGGGCAAGTTGGGAAGAGCTGAGTGAGATTCCATGTGCTAGTTTGCTCCCCAAATGACCACAATAGCCATGGTTGGGCCAGGCAGAAGCCAGGAGCTTCTTCTGGGGCTCCCGCATGAGTGCCAGGGTCCCAGCACTCAGTCCATTGTCTTCAACTTTCCCAAGTACATAAAGTAATGCTTCAGCTCCATGCAGTTTTCATGAGTCAATAGTGAGACAGGCTCAAGGGAAAAACAAGGTAGGGTGAAGGGAGCTTCTAGTACAATGAAGTACAGCTTCAGTGTCCTTTACATACTTGCACAAAGCAAAAATAAAGAAAGTTCATCAATTCTTCATCAGTAACTATAACTGATTCTTGGAGAATGAGAGAGTACTGGTGTTAGACTCTTTCTGATTACAATAATGTTAAGATAATGGTACGAATTCTTCAAGCTCATTGAAATTCACATCTCCCTCTTGTTTCCTACAGAGAATTTCCTAAATCCACCGACTGCAAATGCCCTGCAGCTCTCTAATCCTGTGGTGAGCAGTGCAGCTTCCCCAACAGGAAGCATCACCAGCTTCTCTGGAGTGTGTTCCCCAACTGTTGGCTCGACATGGCAACTGCCATCAGCTACTGGTACCTCTTTCCAGCCACTCCCAGACAGTGCCTACCTTCGCCAACATTCTAGCACAAAGATGCTGTGTGGAGTTACTGACCAGAGCCAGATCGCACATCTGCTCCCTCCTATCCACATATTCTAGACTGGGACATCACAGGAAGCACTGAAAAGTCCTCCTGCCTTGGGCGCTTCACTCAGGTAACTCTCACCAACCAGCATGCAGGTGTTTCTTCTACACCTATAGCAGCCCAATATGACCAAACTGCAGATGCCAATGCCATGGAACCTCTGTTTCCATCACTCACTCAGGGGATGACATCTCAAATTCCAAAGCAGGGATGTGGCCTGTCACTTTCATACCAGCAAGCAAACCAGCTCTATTACTCTAATCCAGGCACAGTAGGGCCTCCAGTGTCTGGAGGACTTGGCACTTGCCTGCAGTCCTATGGCTCTGTGACACACACAGGAAGTGTGGCCTCTGTCCCTTACTCAGAAATGGTGATGGTGCTAAGAGAGATTCAGAACACACAAGTCCCACCACCAGTCTCGACCTCGGAAATCTACATCCCTGTGTATGCACAACCCATCACAAGAACAAGTTTTCAAGGTGAGTGGAAATAAAACCAAGGAAAGGATTAAGATAAAAAGGACTGGGCCTGGCACAATAGCATAGTTTTTAAAGTCCTTGCCTTGAATGCGTCAGGATCCCATACGGTTGCCGGTTATAATTCCAGTGGCCCTGCTTCCCATCTGGCTCCCTGCTTGTGGCCTGGGAAACCAGTGGAGGATGGTCCAAAGCCTTGGGATCCTGCACCTGCCTGGGAGATCCAGAAGAAGCTCCTGGCTTCGGATTGGCTCAGTTCCAGCTGTTGCAGTCACTTGGGGGAGTTAGCCGTTGGACAGAAGATCTTCCTCTCTGTCTCTCCTCCTTTCTCTATATGTGCCTTTCCAATAAAAATAAAACTTTTTTTTTAAAGATTTATTTTTATTATTTTTTCATTGGAAAGGCAGATATACAGAGAGGAGAGACAGAGAGGAAGAACTTCTGTCCGATGATTCACTCCCCAAGTGAGCGCAACGGCCGATGCTATGCCAATCTGAAGCCAGGAGCCTCTTCTGGATCTCCCATGCAGGTGCAGGATCCCAAAACTTTGGGCCGTCCTCGACTGCTTTCCCGGGCCACAGGCAGGGAGCTGGAAGGGAAGCGGGGTTGCCGGGATTAGAACAGGCGCCCATATGGGATCCCGGGCGTGCAAGGTGAGGACCTTAACCACTTGCGCCACCGCGCCGGGCCCATAAAATAAAACTTTTTTTTTTTTTTTAAAAAAGATAATAATGATCAATCTGCAGTGGAAAGTGAGGGGCCTTCAACCACTACCTTTGCTAAGTGCTCACCTTTTCTTCTTCTTCTTCTTTTTAAGATCTATCTTTTTTATCCAAGGGCAGATTTATGGAGATCTTCTGTCCACTAGTTCACTAACCAAATGGCCACAATGACCAGAATTGAGCTAATCTGAAGCCAGGAGCCAGAAGCCTCTTCTGCATCTCCCACACCAGTGCTAGGTCCCATGACTTTGAGCCATCCTCAACTGTTTTTCCAGACCACAAGCAGGGAGCTGGATGGGAAATGAACAAGCCGGTACTTGAACCAGCACCTATATGGAATCCTGGCTAGAGCATGGCGAGGTTTCAGCCACTAGGTTATGACATTGGGCCTTCCTTTAGTTTTCTCTTTCAAAAAAGAGACATTTACTTTTATTTAAATGCAGAATTGCAGAGAGACAGATTTTCTGTTCACTCTGCAAGTTTATCTTGCAGGTCCCTGGGGAGAATGACATAAAAGAAATGGAGGAACATCACTATTGTGGGTGACTGACAGCTTATTTCCAGGGTCACAGTTCTTTTTTTTTAAATTTATTTTAAAATTTTTATTGGAAAGTTGAATGTAAAGACAGGAGGAGAGGCAGAGAGGAAGATCTTCCATCCATTGATTCACTCCCCAAGTGGCCGCAATAGCCAGAGATGCGCCGATCTGAAGCCAGAACCCGGAGCTTCCTCCGGATCTCCCAGGCAGGTGCAGGATCTCCCAAGGCTTTGGGCCATCCTCAACTGCGTTCCCAGGCCACAAGCAGGGAGCTGGATGGGAAGTGGAGCTGCTGCGATTAGAGCCGGCGCCCATATGGGATTCCGGGAGTGTGCAAGACGAGGACTTCAACCACTAGACTATTGTGCTGGGCCCAAGGGTCACCATTTTTATACACATAGTGAAAAAAATAGTCAAACACAACTCAGAATTAGGTAATGTCTGTAAGCAGGGAGCTAGGGAAACTGGTCAAAACACTATTGAAATGGGGAACAGAGTATGGTTTGCCCTTAGTTAGCTGACTAGACAAAGCACAGATGTTTGCATTTCATCAAGCAGGGCGTGAACACACCTCCAAGGATTCACTGGGGTAGCATGCACACTGGGTAAGGCGCCCTTCTCCCTCTCTAGATCCTCTTCTCAATAGGTTCTCAGCCTTGCATATGTTACCCCAGCTTATCCTGTTGGATGTGTTTCGACAACACACTGGTTCATTCCCCAGATGACCATGACATCCAGAGCCAGACCAGCCTGAAACCTACTGTCTGGAGCTTTTCTGAGTCACCCATATGCTTTCCCAGTTCATTAGCAGGGAGATGGCTCTTAGGTGGAACAGCTCCTGGTACTCATATGGGATGCCAGTGTTACAGGTGGAGAATTACCCAGAGTGCTGATCCCCAGTCCTTTCCATTTCAATTCTTTATAAGAAAATTAAATACAGATGGGATTTGTGACAAAATTAAGAGAAGCCCAAGGGCATACTGACAGGTAAGACAATCTTCCCTGCCCTAGCTGATAAGCCTCCCTAAACCATTCCACCCCTTCCATTATGCCTTTTTAGTCTCCTGTGCAAAAGTTTCTGCGTGGTAGTGACAGTTTCTTTTTCTAAGACT